CTTGATAAGTATTTGATATATCACAGTTAACAATTAAGACAGATAAATAAATCAATCAATTTGTATAATAAAAATTCGAAATTCTTAGTTTTCTTCCCCAATTCGCATTCTACTGTAAAATTCACATTCTTCATTCACCCTCTTTCTTCGCATGTTCCAGTCATTTTTTTTTAGTTCATTCGCATTTGAGTTGTTTGTCTCACCAAATACGAAATGAATATTAACCATAATCACCTTCGCATCTTTAACCCCAATCCATACAACCTCATATGCGAAACCCAATTTTGATTTGTATTACCAAATGCGAACATTTTTGCTTTTACACGTGAACTGCATTTGACTCCAATATTGAACAAATCACATTTCACAGTCCTTCTTGACTTCGCATTTTTCTTCACGAATCTGTTCAAAAGGTTTTTCATTTTATTTTATAAACTTTTAATTATATTTGCTTGTAAAATTTTTTTAAATTTTTTCTTAATATTTTAAATTTTTGGCCGATATTGCATATGTGGTTATTATTGTTCAAATGTTAAAGCTATCTTGAGCTTGATACTTTGATACTTTTACAGGTGAAATTATATTGTGATTGAGGGTGCTTAATTTGTACTTTATCTAATTTGTATTAAAAAAAATGAAAACTTTGTTGGTATTCTTCTTAAAGTAAAAAATAACTACTCAATAGTCAATACTACAACATTTTACTTTCATTAGTTTCCCTTTAACCAGTAAAAATCATTATTATGTAATTTTTTAGAATGGAACATTCCCTTTAACGGCTGTTTACTTAATAATTTTTTTCATCATATTGATGAATCCTACTTTTTTTCATTTGTTACCATTTAAATCTTATGGTTATACCATTGTACTTTCAAATGTTTTTTGGTTTAATATTAATGGAACATTCCTTTAATGACAATGTCATTGTTCTTCACGAATCGTCCCTTTAACCCCAATCCATACAACCTCATATGCGAAACCCAATTTTGATTTGTATTACTAAACGCGAACATTTTTGCTTTTACACGTGAACTGCATTTGACTCCAATATTGAACAAATCACATTTCACAGTCCTTCTTGACTTCGCATTTTTCTTCACGAATCTGTTCAAAAGGTTTTTCATTTTATTTTATAAACTTTTAATTATATTTGCTTGTAAAATTTTTTTAAATTTTTTCTTAATATTTTAAATTTTTGGCCGATATTGCATATGTGGCTATTATTGTTCAAATGTTAAAGCTATCTTGAGCTTGATACTTTGATACTTTTACAGGTGAAATTATATTGTGATTGAGGGTGCTTAATTTGTACTTTATCTAATTTGTATTAAAAAAAATGAAAACTTTGTTGGTATTCTTCTTAAAGTAAAAAATAACTACTCAATAGTCAATACTACAACATTTTACTTTCATTAGTTTCCCTTTAACCAGTAAAAATCATTATTATGTAATTTTTTAGAATGGAACATTCCCTTTAACGGCTGTTTACTTAATAATTTTTTTCATCATATTGATGAATCCTATTTTTTTTCATTTGTTACCATTTAAATCTTATGGTTATACCATTGTACTTTCAAATGTTTTTTGGTTTAATATTAATGGAACATTCCTTTAATGACAATGTACTTTCATTGGTTTCTATGTAACCTCTAAATATCATAAACTAGAGAGGGAGCCCCCGCGATGCGGAGGTCGGATGAAACCTTTTTGGTTTGTTGTTTTCTCTATGTTGAGGAGATAAAACAGATGCAAATGTGAATACATACATAATTGGTTTTTCTTATCTATATTTATGTTGAAGAGAGTTGCTAATGTGACAAAATTATCACTTTATGTTGAAAAGCAAAAGGTACGGTTTAGTACCTGACACATAATAGACAATTTCCAGGAGAATAAAACTTCATAAACGTGCTTGACATGTGGTTTATTCTGTGTTTGCATTACGTTTTATATATGGAATGACAAAATAGACCTAAACGATAGATTATATTTTTTAAAGGTGAATACAAGGCTTAACCATGCATCTGTTCATAAGCATAGTATCAAAAGAGAAAACGATTTAAAGAGACCATGGATAATAAGATGACAAAAGAGTTGGAGATTTTTTTGTTTTGTATCACTCCATATATGGCTGATCATCTTCTGGAAGTGTTTTGAGTAGTTTCCTGAGCTCCTGGATGGTCGTTTCAGTTTCCTTCTTTAGACTGTAAATCGCCATGATTCTTTTTGATGCCACGTACGTACTTTTGTTGATGACTTCCTTCATATCTAGGTAGTTGGTGTACTTTGGTCGACAACTCATGTTCTCCAGCACTTCGTTCTTCATCTTTTAGACAAATTCTACCTGTTGTGCCGGGTGGCAGTAGACAGAACATTGTAAATGCTTCTTTGAGTTCTTCATATTTATGGGAACATTGCAAAGTCCATAGATTAACAAAAAACATGAGGCTAACTGTTGGAAGGGATAAATCAGATATAGGAAAAATAAGAGATTTTGCAAATTGGTTGTTGGATATAGGAGAAGGAAAACTTCGTGGTCCGAACGACGGTGAAACGATTATCGATATTCCGGATGATATTCTCATTAATGATTCACATGATCCTATAGGTTCCTTAATTGAGTTTGTATATCCTTCAATTTTAGAGTACTATAGTGATATAAATTATTTCCAAGAAAGAGCGATACTTGCTCCAAAAAATGAAGTTGTCCAGGAAATAAACGACCGTTTACTTAAGAAGTTTCCAGGAGATCAAGTTGAATATTTAAGTTCAGACTGCATATGTGAATCCGAATTTCTCCATGATCAATTTGATGCAAATCTATACTCTCCTGATGTATTAAATGGACTCAAAGTATCCGGTTTACCAAATCATAAATTAGTTTTAAAAATTGGTGTTCCAGTAATGTTACTGAGAAATATTGATCAGAAAAACAGCTTATGTAATGGCACAAGACTACAGGTGTTATCATTGGGCAAACGTGTTATTGAGGCACGTATAATAACTGGAACTAATATTGGAAATCGGACTTTTATTCCAAGAATGTTTTTAACTCCATCAGAAAAAAAGATTCCCTTCAAATTCACAAGAAGACAGTTTCCTTTGGCTGTATGTTTTGCAATGACTATTAACAAAAGTCAAGGACAATCGTTATCAAAGGTTGGTCTGTTTCTGAAAGATCCAGTTTTTTCACATGGACAATTGTATGTTGCCTTATCTAGAGTTCAGAGTAGAGAGGGATTAAAATTATTAATTTTAGATAAAGATGGCAAACTCAGAAATAAAACTTCCAATGTTGTTTATAAGGAAGTTTTTCGAAATTTGTAGCCAACTTTTTTGTAACGTCGTTTTATTCAATTTTAGGAAATCACACTTAATCCATCATATTACTGTATTTTTTTATAATTACGTATTGTTGTATTTTATGTTAATTTCATTACACACATTGGTATTGTATCATCTGCATATGTCCAATTAGAATGATGAATAAAAAAAATAGTTTTCAAAAATCTTCATTCCTAATTAAATACTTCCCATTTAGTTAGTAATTAAATAATTACCAATAAAAAAAATTATTTAAATATTCAATATTACAATTTATAAGTTATCAGAATTATTGATATAATATTTTATTAAATAATTAATTTTTAAATTCAATTCAAAAACAGCATCCGTGGGTTCCACGGGTTTTAACCTAGTTGAATTTATATGTGATGGTTTAAAAACTTATTTATCAATTTGAACTTTATTAAATTGAAAGGGAGGAAAACAAAAATGAAGACATAAGTGAAGGACTAATAATGTATTTTACAGTTTTAACATTTCTTTGTAGGTTATGATTATGTCAGTATATTGACTTTCGCTTTAGGCTGCACGGTGTGGTGCAGTTTGAGACCGCACCTTGGTGCCACCTCAGCAGGGAACACCGCCCCCAAGGTGCGGTTTCCTGCCATTGAGACCGCAGTGCGGTCTTTGAAGACCGCGGAATGTGATTGGTTGGTCAATTTTTTGATCGTTAAATGCAATTTCGTTTGTTTTTTTTTTCCTTTTGTTTTTTCTTTCCTTCCTATATATATATACACATGTCAAACTTAATTTTTTTTCACAACACAATTTTCTCTCTCTCAATTTTTTTTTCAATTACCACTCTCCAAAAAATGTCATCTTCTTTATCTTCTGAAGAATTTCAGATTATTTTTGATACCGTTATTGCGTGTGTTCAAATGGCGGAACAAACATACAAACATTGAACGACTTTATGTAGTTTCCTTTAGTTATTTTATTTATGTTTTTTAAGTTTCTAAGGTTATTTAAATGTCATGTATGTGTTTTTTTTTTTTGGTAACACAATGTACTGTTTTTTTTTAATTTTCAAGTAATGAAGAATTATGTTTTTTTTAATTAAAATAGAAGGTATATTAAATTAAATTAGTTCAAAAAAAAAAGTTTTATTAAATTAAAATACTTAAAAAAAAAATGAAAAGTGTGGCACCACACCCTTGGTGTGGCAAGAAACCATACTTGAGTGGTAAGAAGTGACATAGCGCTGATGTGACGGGGTATAGAGTGCGGTTTCGGTGACACCACTCCCTCCAGCCTTATAGAGTTGCGATTAACAACACCCAGAGATGCATTGCATATTTGCACCCATCATTTCTCCGGTGGGCCATGCATGGGTTTTTGTCACCCAAAGTTATTTCCACAAGACATACATAAGTCAACACTCATTTTTCAAGTAAAATTATAAAATAAAAATAAAGAACAAAAGATTTTACAACGAGATAGTTTTCAAATCAAAGGATCAATTATAAAATTGTCTTTATAATATAGTATTTCAGCAGTCTATTTATTTGGAATACAACGACAACCCAGCAAATATACAACTCATAAATTAATCAAAACCTAGGTGCTCACTTGCTCTATATAAAAAACAATCAACGCAACACCATCTTTAACATCCTAACTTCAACCATCATTACAATTAAGAATCCAACCTGAAAATGGCTCTCGTTAGAACCAACACTAGCAATGGTCGGGAGCCAATTCTCAGCCCCCAACCATTGACGGTCCAACACAGCCAAGAACCGGTTCGCCCTTTGGCTAACTTTCCACCTTCCATGTGGGCTGGTCGCTTTACTTCATTCTCACTTGATAATAATGTAAGAGTTCATTTGTAATAAGGTCTTTTTACTACGTAGTTGCATAATATATAAAGGTAAATGGTTATATAAACAAATACAATACATTTACTTTATTCATTGATTCACATAATTATTTATCATAGTTATAAAAATATAACTTCTTACTTTTAGAAAACTAATAACTATTTCGTATAAATTTTCGTGTATCATTACTTAATCGTATAACTTATAAAAGATATCTTTAAGCTAGCAGTGTGTACGAGATTAAAACTTTGACACTTTGTTATTTCGTAGTTTTATTATTTTAAAAATGGATTAAAGAGACTCAATCTATTAGAGTATTGGGTATGGACAACGGTGTTATGAAGCCAAATATTGTCACCTCACTTTTAACATGTTATAACAAAAAGTGGGGGTGGTGTTTCCATGTTATAACATGGTGTTAAGAGGAAAGAAAAGGAAAAAGAAAAAAAATGATTGGAGGATGAAAGAATACCCAATGAAAGTAAATGTTTTATCTCGTCTTCGTTACCACTAGATACAACATAACATCCCCTTAACGAGGAGGGGTGGTGTTGATTGTGTGAAGCCGGCATTATGGCCGCCACCTTAGCCATAACACGACCAAAATTTGGCCCATACCGTATAGTCTTATGTATGCATATACATAACTAGTTGAATCCAAGCAATCGGTAATACAATCGTTCACGAAAACCAAAACTTAATACAATCCGAAAATTATAAAAAAAAAAAAAAAAAAAACATATCAACAAACCGGAGTAGTTTAAAAAAAATTGTTTTTTTTTAAATCAAATTTTAGGGTTGGGTCAGTTGTTTACTCTAAAACCGAACTGAGTTATGTCATAATCAGTGTTGTAAATATCGGCATAGGCGTTAGGCGGTTTGCAACTGATTACGATTAGGATTTCTAGACGGAAATTGGTCAATATCGGTCAAACTCAGGCTAAGCGGTCATCGGCGGTCCATGGCGGTTTTCGGCGGTCCTTAGCCGGAGTATTTTAAAAAATTCAAAATTTCAAAATTTCAAATATTACATCAAAATTTTCATAACTTCAAATTTTTAAATTTTTAAATATTCAAATTTTCAAATATTATACCAAATATATCAAAAATTCAAATTTAAAAATTTTAAATTTTCAAATACTATTTTTTCTTAGGATATATTAAGTTTTAAAATAGTTTTATTAGTAATTTATGGTCCCCGACTCCGATTAATCCCCGCCAAACCGATTAATCGTTTGACCCCAGTCGACCATCGAGCTACCGCCGAGCGAATTTTACAACCATAGTCATAATACATCGTTTTCTCTCTAATAAATCAAGGATTTTTAAATTTTTTATTATTTTTTTTTGGCTACCTGTCATACTCTTATTCTATTTGTCAAATGTCATTTTGTGGTTATTTTGAATTAATATTTTTTCAACATGTCATTTTGTGAGTTTTTATTTTATTTTATTAAATTATACATAGTATTTTAATGTAATAATTGCAATAAATATAGTAGTAATTAGATATGAATTTCATTAATAACCTTACATTTTAAATTTAAAATTCCAAAAATTAAAACTAATTACTTTCTTTTCTTTATTTAAATTATTTGTTTAAATTTAAAAGATAAAAATATTTTTATTATAATAATTCATTATTTTTCTTATTTTCTTATAAATTTAAATTTCTTAAATATTTTGACTTTTATAATTATTTTTTTTTAAATTAACACATATAATACATATGTCTCACAACTATCTCCACATGTTTATTTTTAATGTTCTATAAAAAGCCAAAAACTAGAAAATCAAACTGGAAAAACTGAATAAATTTATCTTTTTTGGGCTAGAAACTTAAATCCTTTTTATGATTGATTTCATATAAAAATAAAACATAACCATATCACACTCACCCAAACAAGCAATACTGTTTTTGATAATATGAAGTGTCTTATTGTGGCCATAGGAATTGGAAGCTTATGCGAACGCACTGGAGGGCCCGAAAGAAGCGGTGAGGAGTTTAATAACGGACACTACAATGGATGCAACCACAAAACTAAAGTTGATCTACTCGTTACATCGTCTTGGTTTATTGTATCTTTATCCACAAGAGATTGATGCAGAGCTTGATCAATTCTTCAAAAAGATTGATTTACAGTATTACGAACAAGTTGATTTGTACAATATTTCAGTGCAATTTCAAGTATTCAGACACCATGGTTATAATCTATCTTCTGGTAAGTCAACTTTTTGCATGAAAAGAAACTTGACTAAACTTGCCAAATATTTATTAGCTTAAATTTAAAAAGTTCTTACAAGTTAAATCTACTTCCTTATAGTGTACTAAAAAAGTTGTAGATACCAATCTCTTAAAAACCAAACTGGTTCAACCGTTAGGTCAACCGGTTGCTATATTTTTCATGTTTTTTTTTTCTATTTTCTTATATATACATACATATATAAATCATGAATTTGATGTTTACATGTTCAAATATTAAAAATACACACAGAAATAAGTTATTGATGAATCCAAATACATTAAAATAACATACAACCATAACTTTTAGTGTTTACATCAATCCATATACGTCAAAAAGAAAATAAATTATAATATCAAAACAAAATATAGTTTTAAATAAATACAAATACATCAAAAACCTTTCTAACATTTAACACATGTTTTTATTTAGAGCAAAATAAATAGATTTGAAAAAAAAAATCACTAAAGTTTATTATTTAAATGGTTCTTTTTATTTGTTTTTTTTTCGGTTTAACCGGTTCAACCGGTTTATTTTAACTTTTTCTACCGGGTTTATCTAAAAACCAACCGATCCAATTCGCTTGAGAAATCGACGTAAAATCGATGATAGTTAAACCACTCCCTCCACCAGTTCCCCGGGCCAACCGGTGAGTTCAATCCGGTTTTTAAAACATTGGTAGATACAATATTTTTTTAGTAAATTACTGAAATCGTCCATGTGGTTTAGTCAAAATTGCACGTTTGGTCCCTAACTTTTTTTTGCACTCGGATCGTCCCTGTGGTTTGATTTTGTTGCGTTTTTCGTCCCTGTTGTTTGATTTTGTTGCGTTTTTCGTCCCTGTTGTTTGATTTTGTTGCCTTTTTTGTCCCTTACATACATAAATTTAGGGACCAAACATGAAACTTTTACCATACCATAGGGATGAAAAACGCAACAAAATCAAACCACATGGATGATCCGAGTGCAAAAAAAGTTAGGGACCAAACGTGCAATTTTGACCAAACCACATGCACGATTTCAGTAATTTCCTCTTTTTTTTTTTTTTTTTTTAATCGTTGAATGTTTTAGACAACAAAGTTGTAAAAATGGTCACTATGTTTGTTAATTATATGGTTTGATCCAAAAATGTTTGTTGGTGCATTAGTAGTTTGATTTTAGATATCATGTGTGTTTTTGGTTCAAAAACATTAACTTTAAAAGCTTAGGCCGTGTTTGATAGTCGCTGATTGAGAAAGTGCTGACTGAGAAATGGCTGTTTGAGTAAGAAATTCTGACTGAATAAGAAATCATACTGTTTCATTTTATATCTGACTGAACGTGCTGACCGATGCAAAATGACTATTTTACCCTGATATGCTATTCGTTTCTATGCGATATAATAATAACAATAATAATAATAATAATAATAATAATAATAATAATAATAATAATAATAATAATAATAACAATAAGGATAATAATAATAATAATAATAATAATAATAATAATAATACAAATAATACTACTACTAATAATAACCAGCGTTACACATTATATAAAGTATTTGAGCAAATATAATCCAAAAAACCTTCTAGCATAGTGGAAAAGATATGACTTTGTAAATCTAAGGTCATAGGTTCGATTCCTACTACCTTCCATCTATTTCTCACTCAGACCTTGCTAGCTGACCGAGTCATCCAAAAATGTCTGACTTGACTCGGTCAGATGTATATCAAATAGGGCCTTAGTTATTTACTTTTTTAAAAGACAAAATTGCAAATTTGGTCCTTATCGTTGTGGAATGTCCAAAATGAACAATTTTTTGTGGTTTTGATCCTAAAAATTAAGAAATTCTTATGGTTTTGGTTATTCGATAACTTGAAATGACTGTTTTGCCCTTTTATTTCTTTGTTGTATTTTTTAATAATTTATTAATTAAAAATAAAAAAATTGTCCCACCCACCCCACATGTTCTCTCTCTCTCTCTCTCTCTCTCTCTCTCTCTCTCTCTCTCTCTCTCTCTCTCTCTCTCTCTCTCTCTCTCTCTCTCTCTCTCTCTCTCTCTCTCCGACCACCTTTATTTTCTCTAACGATTTCCTATAATATTGATCTCTAAATGTAAAATTATCATTTTAAAAAGACAAAATTGCATATATATATATATATATATATATATATATATATATATATATATATATATATATGGTCCATATGGTATGTATTTTTTTGGATTTTGTCAAAACTATAAATTTTTTGGATTGATGGTCATTTTAACCATGTTTGTATGTGGATTTGGCCTATCCATAAATTGAAATTACAAAATTGCCTTTATAATATTTAATATTCATTTTTCTTTATATAAATATATATATATATATATATATATATATATATATATATATATATATAAAGGTCTATATACCCCATCTTTCTCTCTCTCTCTCTCTCTCTCTCTCTCTATATATATATATATATATATATATATATATATATATATATATATATATATATATATATATATATATATATATTCATCCATCATCTTTGTTCATAACATATTCTTCCTTTTAATAAAACCAAATAAATATTTTATATATAGATATGCACACCCAAAATTTAAATAAACCACACATAATGGAACTACAACTCAAAGCGTACATATATCACACACATACTTTTGTTATTCCATTTCCAAGACCTAATTGACCCTGTTTCAATTTCCACCAACTTCGTATAGACCCATCGATTCTGATAGCTACAAAACCACACAGATACACACACACAAACTTCATTGTTTTCCATCTTCATTAAAATAGGTATAAGCAACAAAGTAACCAAGGCTATATTGGATAATCGCCCTTTAAGGTTGGAACATTTTTAGTCCATTCGCATAAAAAATGCATGGCCTTTAAGGATGTCTATTCGATGAAACAAAAGGAGGATTAACACAAATTGATTACCTTCAAGATCTTGCCAAGAATGAATCCCTTTTTGCACAATATAATCAAATACCTTTCTCAAAGAAACCTAAATCTATATCGATGTTAATGAAGAAGATCAGTTATCACCATCATCCACCATCGAGATCGATCTTTGATGAAGACCAACAACGCGAAACTGAAAATCGAATTTGGACTACGAAATGTTGAAAGTAGGAAGGAATCCACCATTATGAAACTAAAATAAAAAATGGAAGTTGAAATCTTAATAACGGGAGGAATTCACACAGATTGATTAGCTTTAAGAACTTCACGATTTCATGATTACAATAAATGATTGTAATCGATCAATTACATAAATTTATTCTTACTATAAGAAAAGTAGAAACAAAGAACGCAAACTCATTTGTTGGCTCCTCCTTCGATCTATACAATATCAAGCAATAAAGTAACGTGAATATATATATATATATATATATATATATATATATATATATATATATATATATATATATATATAGAGAGAGAGAGAGAGAGAGAGAGAGATTGGGTGTGTGCCAAATAATTGAATTTAATAAAACTTTAATTTAATTAGATAAACCATAAAATTAACTTAAGGACAATTTAGTCTTTTCAATTTGGACAAAGACCAAAAACACAAACAAATTAGTTCAAACTAACCATCAATCAAATAGTTTAGTGGTTTGCACAAAAACCCAGAAAAAATGCATAACCGTAGCCACCATTTTTGTAGTTTTGTCTTTCTAAAAGGACAATTTATATTAATAAATATTATTTATATGAGATTATTAATTTATTTTCAATAATTCTTTTTTAATTTATTTTTTTATCACATTGATTTTTTTGTTGGATTATTATATATTAATAAATATTACTTCATTAGAATATTAATTTCTTTTATTTTAAATTTAAATTTTATTTTTATTGAATTAATTCTTTTTATGGACACAACACCACTATCCTAATTTATTGTAAAAAATCTCACTCATCCCACTAATGACGGACTATGTGAAGGTGTGGTGTTTGATAGGTGTCGAATCCATCAAACAATAAATCATATTTGCACATATGATTTAAAAATAATAGTAACAGTGGCAACACAGGATCGATCCTCAAGGATCGGGTTTTAATCCATAAACACACCAAAATAATCATATTTTATTCTAGGGTATAAGAAGTAAATATGGTGAATTTGAAAACAAGTAAACTAATACAGTCAAATAGATACTAGAAGAAGAGTAAAACAATATGGTTCGAGTTCTATTTACCTGATTGATGCAAGCTAATGATGAATTGATATCAAATTGAATTATGTCTATATTGGTACTTGAAGATACTAACAAGCTCAAGCATCTTGCATTCACCAAATTGTGTAATCAAAACACGCTCTTTAAAATAAACCTAACCCTACTTACCTAGTCTACACAAGCTCCTAGAACTAGATTGAAAAATCGTATTAAGATTTGTGTGAATGTTCCAACAACATTCAATACTTCTCACAAGCTCGAAAGCGTAAAAACATGTAATTGTAGTTTATACCGAAGTTAATATCATCACATAACCAACTTGATGTGTGTCACTTAGAATCAATTTATAAAACAATTACAAATTTTACAAATCGAATAACGAGAACAAAGTAGCCTCAATTCAAGCGGCCAACATGAACCGAGTCAAAAATCAAACATTAGGTTATAACAAAACTAAAATGACTACAAAGAATAACAAAGCAATATCAAATCATTTAATTAACTATATAAAAATGGAGTTCTAACTACAGAACCAGATGTGTTCATTCAACTTGAAAAATAATAAACTAAAAATAGCCTAATCAACATTCATCTTATAATTGTGTAACTGTTGGAAAAAAAGTTTGTGATTGTTATAATTGTGTAACTGTTTGGAAAAAAAGTGATCATCAGTTGTGATTGTGTTAAAGTTTGTTAAAAAAAGTTTGGTTGATATTAATAAACTTAACGAATAATAAATTATAGTTGTCCAACACTTGATTATAATCTTTTCAACAATGGCATTAAAATCCACCTTTTTTGGCTGATTTTAAAAACTAATAAAATGATTAATAAAATAAACCAAAATTATTTATAAAAAAATATGTTATCCTCCAAATGATGGATAAATGTGTATTAATATATAAATACTATATATTAAAAGTAATATTTATTATTACATAAATATTTTCTATTAAAAATTATATTTATTATTATATCATAATTCAATGAAAAACAATTAATCGAAATTAAAAGAGAAATAATTAAATGAAATTAATAATCTAATAATTATTATTAATATATAAATATTATATATTAAAAATAATATTTATTAATATTTAATAATCGAATCAAAAAGAATTAATCCATTAAAAAGAATTAAAAAATAAAATTAATTAAAAGAATTAATATAAAATAATTGAATAAAACTAAAAGGAAGAGATGCATAACTTGTCATTTTAGTTTTTTTTTTTTTTTTTTATAAATGATCGTATGATAAAATTGTTAGTTTAATAAAAGTTAACATCAAAATTGTAAAATTTAATAATTTTGGACTAAAAACATAGAAAGTATCGAAAACTAAACCATTAACGCACCACAAAATATTTTGAACTAAAACCGTATAATTTGGATAACCACGAGTACTATTTTTGTAATTTTTTCAATTTAAATTTTAAATTTATAAATATGTATTCAAATTCATTAATTACTTTCGATTTTCTTTTATTAGAATTGCATTTTAACTTAATTATTTATTTAATCTCATCACTAGGAACAAAACCATTAAATGATTGATTTTTATTTTATCCTCATCATTAGGAACCACATCAAAACAAACAGGCCCGTAAGTAGTTTTAGAAGTGTGGAAAGTGTTAAAAAGAGAAGCTATCGTCTTATATCTTACTATGTGCATATCTTTGCACAAAGCATATATATATATATATATATATATATATATATATATATATATATATATATATATATATATATATATATATATATATATATATATGCATCTCTTTTTGTTAATTTTGCTTAAGTTATAAAATTCACTCTTCATATTTATGCTTTTGTTCATAAATAAACCTTTTACTTTGGTTTTAATTTTTTATAACTCTAGTCTTTTATTACATATTATTAATATTTAATCTTTTGGCAGAAATAATCCCTCATCATTATTATTATTATTGTTAGATAAAATTACACGATTGGTCCCTATGGTTTACCATGTTTAACATTCTCTTTTTGATTTTAAATTAATGTTTTATTTATTAGAAAATACACCCCCAATACCATATACCATAAACCCACCCACCATCTGTCATCACCACCGCCAAAATTACATAAATGGTCAATATGGTTTACCCATGATTACATTAACGGATAAAAAACAACCGTCTATATTTTTTGGATTGGTTTTCCGACCACTATCATACATAGCAATAAAATTCAATTTGTGAGAACATTTATTTATTTTCCTCATTTATTGCAAGAAATAATGATTTAGATTTATTTACTTATGTAATTAGATAATTTTGTTTATCTTCCTTTATTAAATTATCTCAATGCAATTCAACATGCTACTTTACTTTACAAAGCAATATCTTCCGACCCCGACAACGCCGGAGAATCTTTTCTAGTATATAATTAAAATATATATATATATATATATATATATATATATATATATATATATATATATATATATATAATATAAAAATGACTATCTTAACTTTGATAGTATAATAATTTAATAATTGTTGTACTAAATTGATATAAAACATTGATTTTTTTAAATTATATGATAAAGTCAACATCTATCAAAACTATATAATTTTAATCTTTCAATGTTATATACTCAAATGTTACTTATGAACAAAATTAAATATAGTATATGATTTAATGTTATTTATAATTGTTGTTGTCATTAATTATTTATAAAAAATAGTTGTTTAACATTTAAATTTTTATCATTATAATTATTTAAAATATCAAACATTGGTTTTGTTTATAAACGTAATAATATAATTTTTTTTATATAATATTACTTTTAAGTTTGTCGTATAAAGTTATTTTTAAATTATTTATTTAAGTTAACTTTTTAAACGTTATATTTAAACTAACAATTCAAGTATTTTATATAAATTATTTAAAAATTTTGAGTTTAAATTGACAATGATTTACATGAAAAGCATATCCAAACTAATAAGTTAAATGTAATAAAAAATAAATATAAGTAAAAGTTGGTATTTTAGTATTGATGTTTAGTTGATTTATGATTACAACTTAGATGTTACACTTATTTAATAATATTAATAGAATTTATAATCATTATTCCAAAGAAACTGAAAAATCATTAAATATTTAAATACGGAAAAATGTCTTTTTTATTGTATAGTATAGATTTATATAATTTCCACGTCTAAAATAACATCATTAATGAGACAAAAACCTATAATATTTTGTTTGGTCACCCAAAAATGTGAAAAACATGCAACCATCACTCCATGCGGTTTGTTTAAGAAAAAAGACATAATACCTCTTTATATGCATTATCAAAAATAAATTTAAAAAAAAATTGTCCAATAGAGTTCAATCTAGGTCTGTAATCCAGTTAAATCTAGTTACAAGTACCATTTTTTGTTTAAAACTATGAGCTAAAGACTCGTTGTGGGTCACACCGTAAACACCCTTTCCATCCTCATAATAAAGAAAAAGCATAGAATGTTTGTCCCAACTCAATCACTTTGATTTACTTTAATCTAGTCCAATCTAGTCTAACAACCAGTTACATGTCTTATGCAGACGTATTCAAAAAGTTCAAGGACAACAATACGGGTACATTTACGAACGATGTCACAAAAGACGTGAAGGGCATGTTGAGTTTATATGAATCAGCTCACTTGAGGCTACATGGCGAAGATCTCTTAGATGAAGCTTTGGCATTTACTGAGGCTCAACTTAAAAGAATCGTAAGCATGCTAGATGGTGATCTTGCACGCCAAGTGAATCAAGTCTTGAAGAGATCCTTCCACACTGGGATGCCAATGGTGGAGGCACGACTATATTTTAACACACATGAAGAAGACTTTTCCAACCTTGAGTCAGTTGTAAAGCTAGCTAAAGTCCACTTTAACTATTTGCAATTACAACAAAAGGAAGAACTTCGTATCGTCTCACAGTAGGTTTCATTTAGAACTATGACTTGGCCAATTAATTTGTTTCAAATTGATGAAGATAATTTGATTTGTGCTTTAGGTGGTGGAAAGATATGGACTTTCGGACACATGTCCCTTATGTAAGAGATAGAGTGCCGGAGATATACTTGTGGATTTTGGGGTTATATTTTGAGCCTTATTACTCTCGGGCACGTATCATAGGCACAAAAATCACGTTGTTCTTGGTGGTTTTAGACGACACATATGATGCATACGCTACAATTGACGAGATCCGATCGATCACAGACGCGATTAATAGGTATTTTAAACGTGATTAATAGGTATTTAAATGCAATAAAACCTCAAGTTTTATCTTTAATGTATCAAATAGAGTCATTTTTACCCGATGACATACAACAATTAGGTCTGGGTGGTATCTGATTTACATCTCGCATTATCTCAGCTATATAATTAACGGTTGTGTAGTGATTCACATTTCGCATGATGTTTCTGGGACATTGTTGTATATGCTAGTTGAGTGGCTGTTGAATCCTTTTCATGTACAAATAGATTCATTTTAACATAGTTTTGGCGTGTAGGTGGGAAATTAGTGCTATTGATCAGCTTCCCGGATATATCCAACCGTTCTACAAAATTCTGCTTAACGAGTACGATGATCTCGAGAAAGAATACTCAAAGGAAGAGAGAGTGTTTAGTGTCCACGCATCAAAACAAGCAGTACAATATCAGGATACCTTTTATCTTTATTAATTCGCCAGATATACTAAAATGTATATTGGGACTGAGACTTTTTCTTATGAAACCAGTTTCAAGAAATAGCAAGAGGGTATCTTGAAGAGGCGGAGTGGTTACACAATGGTTATGTGGCGACATTTGCTGAGTATATGAAGAATGGATTGATTACTTCGGCTTATAATGTTATTTCAAAATCAGCTTTGGTGGGAATGGGTGCAATTGCAGATGAAGAGGCTCTTGCTTGGTATGAAACACATCCTAAAATTCTAAAAGCTTCGGAGTTAATTTCAAGGCTCCAAGACGATGTGCAAACTTTCCAGGTACAACCAAATGAACTTGGATAAATAATGTTCTAAAATTTTAACTTGGAGAAATTTGTGAAAAAAATAAGACTAAATGGAGAAAGTTAATATTATTTCTTTAAACCATGTTTCTTAATCAAGCATATATATATATATATATATATATATATATATATATATATATATATATATATATATATATATATATATATATATATATAAACCCTTCTAATAAACTAAACCTAAAAATAACATGTATCAGTTTTATAGAATGCCTAGCTCTTGCACACGTGACATTTTTCTATGATTTTTATTATTTCCTTTTTTGTAAAAAATTAAATTCAATTCAAACTTTGAAAATATACAATCATATCCTAATAACATTATTATGTTTATTATGCTTAACAAATTAATTCATAATTACTTAAAATCGATAATATCTTGTGTTTTTTTACATTTATTATTTTATATATATATATATATATATATATATATATATATATATATATATATATATATATATATATATATATATATATATATGAAACCTAAAAATCACACGTGTCAGTTTTTTAGAATGTCTCTTTGACACGTGATATTTTTCTATGAAATTTATTATTTCCTTTTTTAGTAATAAATTGAATTCAATTCAAAATTTGAAAATACATAATCATATCCTAATAACATTATTATGCTTATTTTGCTTAACAAATTAAATCATAATTACTTACAATCGATAATATCTTAGGTTTTTTTTTTGACATTTATAATTTTAAATGTATTGACCATGGTTTCCACACGCTATAACCTAATGTATGTATGTATGTATGTATATATATATATATATATATATATATATATATATATATACACACACACACACACATGCTTAGGTTATTGTATTCTTACTAATTATTATATAGATATAAGAATGATTGTGGGCCAATCATTTTACTTATTTTAAGAAATTGATTAATACATATTATTGAATTTAATATAACTGACAAATTCATCTTATTTAACTACAATGGTATTTTAGTCAATTAATATAAATTTATTAAAAGAAAATTGCATATTTTAAGGGATCATAGATTTTATTAAATTTAAAAATCCGATTTAACGAATTATAATTCTTTTAGTTCGTACATTCTGACATAATATGTTTATGAGTATATTCAAAAATAAAAATATTCTTAACTATAAAATAATAAGAATATTGTTGAACCTATTTCTTGATCGTGACTTTAAAAACTTCTTGTAAAATAACAAATTATGGAACCATCAATTGAAGAATAAAAACACAAATTGCATTAATTCCTAAGAATACGGATATCAATTGCTAAGAATTACATTTATTGTTTAAAAATAAGACTAAAAAAACTTTCAAATCGGAAAAAATAACATCCAAATCTAACAAAGATACTAATACATTCTAAAAGAACAATGTTGCTAAGAATCACTTTCAATTTTGTGGTTCATTCTTCAAGCATCAACTTCTGTGGAAACAAATCCAATTGTAGTTTAGAATTTAATAATTCATTAGCAAATGAAAAATAAAAAACTAAATTCATATGAAAAAAATATATGAACTTATGAATTGCACAAAAACCAATAATCAAGTGTAACGACCCAAAATATGACCCAAAATTTTTTGTTTTAATATTACTAAAAATCACATCAACGAATGTCATACATAATAAGAACCATGGAATAAGTAACTCAAAAGTCATAGTAATTGTGTCAAAGCAAAAACTGTATCAATCATATCAAAATATCTGAATAAAACTCTCAGGATAAAAATGAAGCGGTGGTGTGTGTGATGTCATCAACCCGAGCTCTTCCCTTTGCTAGCGGAAGTACCTGAAACCAAAAACTGAAATTGTAAGCACAAAGCTTAGTGAGCTCCCCTAAACTACCACATACCATACAATAACATATAAACAACTATTGGGCCTTGTCCACTGCATCAGGCCGATATCCGGAAACTACATTGAACCAAGTTCCGAAACTAACTATGGCCTTGCCCTCTACATCGGACCGATGTCCGGAAACTGCACCGGACCGAAGTCCGAAACTGACTGGGACCTTGTCCCCTTCATCGGACAGAAGTTTAAAATTGCATCGGACTAAAGTCCGGAACTGATTGGGATCTTGTCCCCTGCATCAGACCGAAGTCCGGAAACTGACTAAACATAGCATAGCATAAACATATCAGCTAGCATGAACACATATACTACACACTGCATCAGACCAGATTCCGGAACACATAACACAAAACATGTGTGAATCACAAAGACGTCAAGCACTCTAACTACTACATCGGACCGAGGTCCGGAACTACTGCTAACTAAACGGACCGACATTGTGACCGTAGACCCGTTCCTACTGGAAGGAAAACTCACCTCGTAACACTGGCTGCTGAGATGCTAAATCTGATACTATCTGACTACCGTTCCGGAATTCCTCGGCTACAAATCCCAAAAATACAAAATCAAATGCTGATAACAAACCTCAGGGTAAAATGACCATTCTACCCCTGCTATAGTGTGGCTCACAAACATGACCCAACCCTCAATTCTTTCTAAGTCCTCTAATAGCCAACTAAAGGCCCACTAATGGCACCCATTTTCTACATTGGGCCCAAATCACTTTATTGGGCCATACTCTAGGCCCAACACCTAAAAAAGGCCTATATTCATTGGCTTCTAATGACTCCTAAGGTCCAAAGATTCTAAGTCCAAAGCACATCCCACACCGAGGCCCAAATGCTCGAAGCCTAAACTACCTGCATACGTGGGGCGTACCCCAAGGTACGCTGAGCGTATTGGCTGCTGGCTTGTACACCGTGCGTACCTCCTTGTACGCCCAACGTACAACCCAGTTAAGCCAACTTCTTATTAAGTGCTTAATCCTTCGATTCAGAAGCTAAATTCAGATCCATGTCTTATTCTCTTTCCTAAGTTGTTATGTTGCTTGCTTGATGGCTTGGGTAACTCAAAAAGGCTCAAACTTCAAAAAGTAATATCCTAATTCCATAGAAATGACTAGATCTCTTGCATGGCCTCATGCAAACTTCCAAGGTTGAAACTTCATTGCTAATGAGGTGCTTTGAGCCTAAACGATGGCAATACTAAGCTAAAAAAACGAAACTCCATGATCAAGATCCAAAACTTCAATAACTCTAGATCTAGCAAATGAGGAAGAATGTTTAGTGCTTTATACCTTCTTTTGGTGAAAAAGAGTGAGTCTAGACCGGATCTCTGAGCTCAAGCTTCTTCTCCAACCTTTGCTTTCCTTCTTCACAACTTCTTTCTCACTAAAACCCTCCCAAGGAGCAAAATAACACAAAAGAGAAAGTAAGGACATATTAGGGTTTCTTTGGGGGTGAGGAGGTTAGTAAGAATCTAGAGGGAGGCTATAATGGGGTTTATATAGGTCTTAAACCCTTAAATTAGGGTTTTCTTATCTGCTCACTTACGTTGCGCATACCTAATGGTACGCTGCGTGTAAGTATGCGCATCCCCAATTCCATCACGGTCCATTACGCCCTACGTACATCCAGGCTACGCCCAGCGTACGTCTTATGGGCTACCCAATACTTGGCCTAAGTGCATAAACCAAAAACGAATATTCTTTTCCTTCCATATTAGGCCCAACTATAATTGAAGAAAAATTAAATAATTAATACCTCAAGAGACGGGAGTTACAATTCACCCCCACTTGAATCAGACTTCTTCCTTGAAGTTTGTTGCTACTTAATCTAAAAACAAATCCGTATAATGCTCCCACATTTCCTCCTCAGACTCCCACGTCCACTCTGAACCCTTCCAGTGCTGCCACTGCACCTTCACTAGCTGAACCACCTTGTTCCTCAAGGCCTTCATCTTCCGATCCAAAATTGCAATGGGTCTCTCGATGTAATTCAGGCTACTATCAACCAGAATATCCTCCAATGGTACAACTGTTGACTCGTCCACCAAACGCTTTCGCAACTAAGAAACATGAAAAGTGTTGTGGATCTGGTTGAGCTCTACTGGAAGATCCAAACAGTAACCAACTCGGCCCACTCGGGCTAAAACCCTAAACGGACTAATGAATATGGGGCCCAGCTTGCCCCGCTTTCGGAATCTGATGACACCCTTCCAGGGTTATACCTTCAAGAGGACCATATCTCCCACCTGAAACTCCAAGTCCGAATGCCTCCTGTTGGCGTAACTCTTCTGCCGACTCTGTGCAATCTGCATTCTACTACGGACCTGCTAGATCAACTATGTAGTCTTGAGCACCACCTCAGTGCTCCCGATGACTCGCTGACCGACCTCGCCCCATCAAATCGGGGTCCTACACTTCCTCCCGTAGAGCATCTCGAAAGGCGGGCGGTAAATGCTAGCGTGGTAACTGTTGTTATACAAAAATTCCGCTAATAGAAGATACGTATCCCAACTGCCACCGAAATCTAGGACACATGCCCAAAGCATGTCCTCAAGAGTCTGAATCGTCCTCACACTCTGCCCACCCGTCTGAGGGTGGAAAACAGTGTTGAAATGAAGACGAGTCCCTATCTCATCATGAAATTGCTTCCAAAACCTGGAATTGAACCGGACGTATCGATCTGATACTACTGATACATGCACTCCATGCCGTGCCACTACCTCGCGCACATAAATATCGGCTAGCTTCTCAGCCAATATACTCTCCTGGATCGGTATGAAATGCACGCTCTTAGTCATCCGATCCACTACGACCCAAATCGAATCAACTTCATGTGCGGTCCTGGGGAGCTTAGTGATGAAGTCCATAGTGATATCCTCCCATTTCCACACGGGAATGTCTAATGGTTGCATCTTGTTGTGGGGCCTCTAGTATTCCGCCTTGACCTTCCTGCAGGTCGGGTATCTCTCTACATACCAAGCTACATCCCGCTTCATGCAAGGCCGCCAATAATCAGGTCGGAGATCTCTATACATCTTCGTCGCCCCTAGGTGGATGGAGAAACGAGACTTATGGGCCTCATCCATCAACACCTGTTGTACTCTACCCCA